CGTTCGTCGTCCCTACGACTAGTAGAGAGAGAGAGAGAGAATCTTTTAGGACTTTTTAAGACATACTCTTCATGGACTTCTTCTTCTTCTTTTTTGGGTTTGTTTTGGGGTGGGCAGGGGGGGTGAACATAATTAATTCTTTTATTAATTTTCCAGTGAATTTAGATTTCGGTCTGTAGATTTTCATTTTACAGCCTTCAGTTTTATTTGTTTTGATGGTTGGAGTAGGAGAACGTATTGGCTGAGTCAAGAATGATGATTCCTGATTGCCGCAAGCGCCTAGAAGCTGCGCTGTCAGATCTACATGCAATTTTGGTTTGTGCATCCTTATCACATTGAAACTAGTGGGGTCTTTTCCATCTACGGGTCCCAATATGAACTTGAATACTCCAAGACTGAATTGCTGACATTGGTTTCAGGCTGAGATGAAGGAATCAGATCAGCAAGGAGTAGAAGTTAAGGAAGCTGAGAGCACCGTTGCAGAGGTTGAGGCTCTGATTCAAACGAACGAGGCTTAGTATATTGATGCTCTCCACTTAGTTTTTTGGCATACAACTCATGAAACTTGAAGCATGGAAAAAGTGGTTGTTGTGATCCACTAAGATCCTTGTATGATCATAGTAAATGCGCTTTGTACTGGTTTCCATGATACGATATAGCTAGATTTGGGTCGTACTTGTAAAAGAAACAAAAAGGGGAAAGTTTTTGTTCATTGATCAGCATATATCTCCAGTGTATCAAAAAGCGCTAGACAGGTCCTAGGCGGCCTGGGGGGTCCAGGCCGCCCAGCAACTAGGCGGGCACCAAGAACCAAGGCGGCTGCTCAGTTGAAAAAAAATACCAAACTACCAAATACCATATTTCAAGCTGAAGAAAAAGATAGGTGTCGAGAAATTTTTTTTGATAATCCATATTGTTAAAACAGTAAACTTTAAAACCATACACGTGTATGATGTAAAAGTCAACACTCAACATAACAGTAATATACAAAAATTTAGAAAATATAAAGTCTAACAAAAATCAACATTCATGATATAACACAACAGTCAACACTCTAACACTCAGAACCAAGAGGCAAGAGTCTTCAGTTGTCATCATCATCAAAAGGAATATCGATAGGGCAAGTTTTATCATATGTATCAGAGTTGAGGCCATCATCATCAGAGTCATCTTCCTCTTCAATATAATGCTCGTCTTCCTCTGTTTCTTTGGAATCTGTCTCTTCGTCATCATCTTTTTCTATCTTCTTGTTACTAATATGTGCAGTTTGTGTAGATGATGCCTTAGGACTCTTGGCTGCTCCATCCTTTTCTTTGTGCTTCTTTGAACTCAAATATTGTATAATTTGCTCCCTAGTAGCTTCGAGAACATTTTTACGCGGGGTAACATTCCTCTTAGTACTGGCAAGGTGTTTTTTAAAACGGTAAATGACTCCATTAGTATTATTTTCACAATAATTATATTTAATATGATTTTTATCACTTGGATTCGGGTTATAACCATACTTCCAATCCGGATCACCACTCCAACTAGAATCTGGAGAAGATACTTCAATTACAAGGCTTATTTTTATTTTAACCTTTTCTGGTTCTTCTAAATTCAGAAGATGTCTAATCTCATCTTGAATTACTTCAGAAACCTTGAACAAGAAGCAACGTTACCTCTAACACCAGCAAGGTGTTTTTTGAATTGGCTAATACCCCTATTGGTATCTTTTTTACAAAAAGTATACCTTATAAAATTTGTATCATTTGGTTTTGGGTTGCATCCATACTTCCAACCCGGATCACTTCTTCTAGAAATAGCAGAAATAGATCTAAGATAAGGATTTTGTTTTTGTTTTTGTTTTCCAGGACTCATATATTGCTTAATCTTCTCTTTGATAGCTTCAGGAACATTTTTACAAAGGGCAACAACCTTCTTAATACCGGCAAGATGTTTTTTAAATCGGTTTATACCTCATTTTGTATCTTTTTCACAAATAATGCATCTAACGCAATTTTTGTCATTTAGATTCAGGTTGTATCTATATTTTTAATCTGGATCTCCACTCCGACTAACTCCTAAAGAACACATCTCAAAATAAAATAATCAATCTAAAAATAAAGTTTTGCACTTACTTTGCGCGAACTTTAAACTTGGAGACACTTCGATCCAATGAAATGTAGTTTTTTAGAGGTTTCTTTCTCTCTAAAATGGGTTATTGTGGGTTTAGGTTTCAAATGAACCTAAATCCCTTCCTTCTATCCTTTTTATATCTTTTAAAAAAATAAAAACAAAAGAAAACATTTCCACCTCTAGGCGGGGCACAGGTCATGGGCGGCCGCCACCCAATTTGGCCGCCTAGGCCTGGGTGTTGTGCCCAAGCCTTTTGGACTTTCGTTGTGCGGTCCGTTTTTTTTAACAATGGATATGTATATACCTAATTCTTGGGATAATTTTCTAAGACCCTCTAAATTACCAAATGAAGCATTCTCTTCTTGAAACATCTGAGTTAGTTTTGACGCTCTCTTGAGACTTCCTTGATTGAAATCAAGACCATTGTAGGTTGCCCTAGGGTTTTTTTGTCTAGCGACTTAAAATCACGCCAGAAATAACTTTGTACCCCACATCACAGCCACAGAACAAGTGGAGCTGCTCAGCCTCGAGTTCAGCCTGCCGGGCTGCTGCCCTAGGGAGGGATGATAACAATTTCATATGTTAGGCTTGGTAATCATAACTCTTGAAAAATTCTTTCTATGGCAATTCGCTTTCATTTCAACATTTCAGGATCTTGCTTTTACTCTTAGGATTTAATATGCCTTACTGCATTTGACCGACATCCATCATATCATAAGGTATCATCATTAATGGCTTGCATGTGTTCTCATTGTGGCTTCCTCCGTGAACTCATTATGTTTTTGCAAAAGCATAAAATCTCGTATTAAATTGTGTATGTAACGACATTTAGGTTGAGGAAGGTGGAAGTCTAATTCCTAGGTTAAAAGGGAGAAAACAAGTAATGCTTTGTGACGGGAGGAAACACCATATTTGTTGATGAATGAGTAAAGTCGTGTAAAACCTTACCCCACCCAACAAGGTGCCGCCTTGTGACACTAGGAGTTCGAGTTTTATGACGTTTGCAGACACCAATATGGGTCAGAGTTTTGGTGTTACTATGAACGCTCAAACAGACCCTCCTGGGCATTCTCTAAAGCATCACCAAACCAGGATTCAACAAAATGATGTGAAAGTAGTTTTTATATGAACAGAATATTGGAAGGTTGTATGCAGTGTTTTAAAATACGGGATGCGGTCAAAAGCGGGGGGCCGATGAGGCTCGATGCGGTCCAGATGCAGGTATATCGCATTGATGCGGTCAATAAATGTAAAAAAATTCTAAAAACTCTAAAAAAATATGTTAATGAATAGAAAAAAAATATGGATGTGATATATGCGATAGTATGTATTTTAGTTTAATGATTAACTTCAAAATTATTAGTTGTCGGAGATTCTATATCCACTATTCCCAATTTTAGTGCTTAATTTCTTCACAGAAACCTTCGATTTCTTGTTACAAATTCACCTAAACTTCCCCAAATCAACAATCAAAATGTTCTAATCAATATCCAAGCATCAAATAATCCCCAAATCCAAAATCTGAATGAAAAACAATTTCCTTGATTTGATCCCAAAAAAGCCATGAAAGTGGTTGTAAATGATCGTTTAGGGGGTTTAATACCCTCCCAAACTGTTTTCCCCAATTTTTAATGGTCAAAAAGATCATTTTGCCCCTCCTCGAGGGGCACAATCGATATTTTTTTTGCAGAAAACAATGCGGCAAAATGCAGCCGCATAACTCAAAACCGCATATGTGGTCTGTGCAGATGCAGTACCCACCGCATATTGCATGATGCGGCCGGCGAAGTGGCCGCATTTTAAAACACTGGTTGTATGGGTCATACAAAAGGTTACTTGCAATAGGAACAAGTTTAAGTTGTCTTAATTTAAGGTGCACATAAAAAATCCATTGCAAATGACTATTTGGATGCTAGAAAACCATCTAATTGATAGTTTCGATGTCGAGATGTATAGATATTAAAGAAAAAAGTTTCAAGTCTAAGGATTAATTGTGGTATCTTATTCTTGGTGCTAGATATGGTGTGGACCGTTTTGGTTTCTAGATTGGAGGGGGAAGAAGTAATTTGAAGAGATTTGTTTTTGGAAGGATATTTTTCTTTGCAAAAACCTTGTGTCAAGGAATGTTTGATGGTGTGTAGATGTGGGTTTTAAAGTATCTTTTTTGCATCACAAGTGAGTAGGAGCCATGGCACTAAAATTTTCATATCCGAAACTATTTGAGAACGTGGTAAATCCTGAGGCAAAGGTGGCTGATATCTATAATATCTTGGGCAGTCAAGTGGTATGGACTTTGCAGTTTCCGCACAATAGATGATAGACTACTGTCACATTATATCTCATTGATGAGGGAGTTTAATGAGATCTTCTTCTCTCGAGGGATGGAAGATGAGATCATTTGGGATGTCGAAATGGATGGCCAGTTCATAGTTAAATCGATCTACTCTCTCTTATTTCATGATAGATGGAGATGTTCGTTGTCCCAAATAGCATAGATCTGAAAATGGCTTGTTTCCCACAAGGTGCAAATTTTTATTTGGTTGGTTGCATAAGAGAAAGTGCTTACAGTTGACAATCTTATTAAGTGAGGTAAAGTTTTGGCCAATGTATGCTTGTTATGCAAGTTGGATGGAGAGTCTTGTGCCCATTTATTTGTTTAATGTTCTTTCGGTACTAAGATTTAGTATGTTTTTTTGAATTAATTGGGAATGAGTGCAGCTCTACCTCGAAGTGTTTTGGGCATTGTCTCTCACTTAACTTTTCTTTGTTTATCAACTATTGGTGGTCTAATTTGAAAAGTTGTAAGATGCTGTTTAATAGGGTTCTCAATAATATCAATCATGCTATTTGGAGTTGGCGGACTGTTACTAAAGCGTGTCAAGATATCTCGAAAGTGGATGTATTGTTGAACTTCCCCAATCTTATCCATCTAAAAGTTCTCAAGAGTAGGCATGTGGATAGATGGATACCACCAATACATGGTTCTTTTAAACTAAACTTTGATAGGAGTTATTTTGGTAATCCAGGAGAAGCAAGAATAGGAGGAATAGTGAGAGATTCGAATGGAAGGGTTATCTTTGGTTTTATTGGGCTTTTGGGTCATGCTACGGCCAATCATTATGAATTAGCAGTACTTCTACAAGGATTAAAGCTATTTAAGTCCAAGGGTGTAGGTGCTTGTTGTGTGATTGAGGGTGATTCAATGAATGTAATCAATTGGTGCACAAACAAGCAATGCCTTGAACCTTAAAGGCTATGTGGTGTGAGATCCTTGATTTGGCCGGAGGGCTTACGGTATCCCTCTAACATGTCTATAGGCAGATTCTTTACCTAGAAGGGGGTTGCCTTTGTCTATGCTTTTGGTTTCTGATGATGTAAATATGTTGTAATTCCTATTTTAAAGCAGTAAATTTATTAATATTGGTAAAAAAGAAGAAGATTGTAACCTTATATAGACTTTTTCCTTTATTAATAATGGATGTGAGAGAATATTAAAGCTTTCCAATTATTTCCAAACCTTGAGTTCAACTGACACCACTCCCACCTCCCATCAGGTCTTGGGTTCGGATCCATTGCCGCCCCTAATTCCAAACCTTGAGTTCCACT